CGCACTGTGCTCAGAGCCAGCCGAGAGGTTTCTTCTAGATTGCAACTGGTTCACTGACCTCTCGGATATCCGGTGACTGGTACGGTAACAACTGACAGTGCCAAAAGCACATGCTCCAGGGACGTGCATAGAGGTCGAGATCCTATTCCACTAAAGCTCAGTGTCATTAGAACAAGACAGCGGAATTTCGGTATGCAGTGCTTCTTGATAGGCTTGCCTGACCGAGGGCTGAGACAATTTCTCATTTGCCAGTGGGAGGAGAAGCTTGGTGTGCCTCCCCTTAAAGTTCATGGAGAAACGACAGCGTACCAGAGCATGATCATAGTCGACGCAGGTATTCCAGTACGTGCGGCAATCCAGGATGGAACCACGCCATCAGTTTGGGTCCATCGCTGGCCAGCTACAGGAGGACGCCAAGTGGCACTTCGGTGCCCACGGTGTCTAAAAGCAGTGCTACTAAGAAACAACTGGTGCTCCGCATACATTTGCAGCAGACGCTCACCGTTGTCAGTCCTTTCGGAGTTAATCCCATAATTACCACCCAGCTGAGCTTCTGAAGAGCTCAGATGCCCTACTGGTGCGTTCATATCCCGTGCAAGTACTATGACATCTGAACTAGTAGCACTGCGTAGTAGCGCGTTCAGTTCGTGATGGAATGTGTCCTTGACAGCATTATAACTGCAGTCGGTGGGAGCATAAGCGGAAATCATGAACAAACAGCGTTTGTACTACTTCGTGAATCAACCTTAGCTGATGTCGTCAAACGGGCTGCACATAAACGGCTGTTCACCGGAATCCAATCAACCAGCGATGACTCAGCTTTGGAGCTTAGAAGGAGACCTACACCAGCTTGACCCGTGAGTGCTGCATCGGCGTCGCCGTATGCGTGCAACTAATAACGAGAGGATAAGCCGGGTGTAGTTAAGTAAACAACCCCGTTAGGGTCATTGATCCTAGTTTTGGACACACAACACATATCAATAGCCAGTGTGTTCAATGTACGTATGAGTGCAGCCTGTTGACCTATTTGTCTTAGAGTGTGAACGTTGAACGTTTCCATGGAAACGGGACAGCATGGCTTTCTAAGGAACTGTTGCCGATAGGTGTTGCGAGAGGGTGGCTGCAAATGGTTCTAATCCAGTGGCCCTTCGGTTGAAGTCAGTTAAGTTCGGAATAAAGAGAAGGTTAGTAATGGGGGTTGGGATGTGAGTAAGAGAAACAGGTGGAAAAGAAGGAAGGGCGGCGCCAGCAGTAGCATGTTTCCGCTTATCCGCCCTGCTGTACGCAGCAGATAAACCGACCTTGGATAATCTGTGCAACGGCCGATGCAGGATGAAGTTTAGGTTTTAAGAAAAGTCACTCTAAATCAGCGAACCGACGTGAAATTTTAAGTCATGACGCTCAAATCCTCTTGAATAAAGCACAGTATTACGGTCATTAGGCTCTAGGTAACACAATGTGAATTTTGCACAGGAAGCTTATGCTGACTAGGTAAACATTGGTGGTTGTTATACATTTTAGGAATCTATCCTGGGATCCAGTTGTGCAATTTTTAATTTAGAAATAAGTTTATTGATGGTTCACCTTCTGCAATTGACTGAAACACTAGTTTTGGTCTTTCTAAAAGTTAATCGACATAGCCATATTTTTTCATTCTAAAGAGAGTTAAGATTTGCCCATAATATGCATTTGATACGGCCTCCGTTATCCCGTGGTTGATGGAGAGGCTGAAAAGGTCTACAGACACCCTACTATCATTCGATGCTTATCTACTGCTGGTGAGAGCTAGTGAACTGCAAAACCATAGATTACTCGCTGTGAGCGAGCGGAGTTAGGCAACTTTTGCGTGTCTACTGAATTCGAATGCGAAAACACAAGAATGCGTTTCAGATTCAGCTTTGGTAAAGTGGTGTGTTATACAGCCACTACAATTTAAATTCAAAATTGGCAGCTACAAAAATGTTGATACAACGCCATATTATTTCTTAGTATGGCGAAACTCCCTCCATCATTCCCACTGTGTTGGGATAGAAAGAGTACCGTTTTTTACTTCTCTTGCAATTGGGTAGTTATGATGAGTGATGCGACTGAAACCGAAACATCGACCTACTAAACTTAAATCTAATATTTATTTTAAACAAAGTTATCGGCCTCATTTTGAAAAGAGAGGTAAGAAAATCAAATAGGTGTGGAACAACAGTGATGGGATCGTACGAGATGATGCTCCTAATCTTTTTGTAAAAACCGCAAAGTTTGGGCGTGATATTAGTTGACGCTCACAGTTGTCTGAGTCACTTAAGGCGAGAAACATTTAGGATGTGATTCTGGCTTGAAAGTAAAACTGTACACGTCACTCGGATATCCTTCAAGGTGACGGCACTTGAGATACCTGAGTTGCTGGCAATTCACGTACTCATTCTATCACGATGCGTGATCTACATGCGGATAAACTCAGAAACAAGTGGATTTTAGCAGTGTTATTTCTTGGTTATAAACTGCTGGCGCGCTTTAAATGTTCAGATTTGCCTGAAAATTGGGGATAGAAGTTACTGCTGATAATAAAACAAATAGCGGTTTTGTATTTGGCGAAGTAGATTGGGAAAGATGCTGAGGCCGATGCTGCTCAATTTTTCTACATTGGCACATTTAGTTAAAAATGTGCTCTACTTATTTGGGGAATTCAGGACAGCAAGTTCTGTGCAGCATCGAACCCACCAACAATTACGCCATCAAAATGTCTAGTCTCAATTACAGATATTGCAACCGTCAACGTTCACTTGCTGCTTTATCCCTAATTCTCCTATAAATTAGACACTTAGAAGAGCACTTGTTTGGCTTTATAACGCCTGACAGTAGGTTACTGAAGGGACACCTGAAATCGAATGACCAAATTCTGCTGATTACCGGAAGAATATAAAAATTTGGTCAGATGTTTTCTCATCCAAGGCTCGCACGTAAGACATCGACCATTGAATCTGGGAAACTTAAGCCTAACATTTTACTGCATAGCACAAATTTTTCGTTTGGTAATGCGAAGACGCAAAGCAAACCAAACACTGGCAATTCAAGTGTATTTGTAAGTTGGCCTCTGAATTTTACACGGGCTGAGAAAAACTGGCATATGCGGTACTTCCATCCTGATGACAAGTACACTACTCACTTCACTCATTTGAAGTATATCTGGGTGACCGGATATGCGTCACAGAATGCCTTGCGTATACTCTCATTTGATATATTCGGTGTAAGGACGCAAAATGAAATCTTGACAGTGTTTATCCACCCAATGTACAACCTCAATTTTTTCTAGCCCTCAGAAACCGAAACTTTTGTCGGAGAGAGTGAGTTCATTTTCTGTATTCTCATCGCAACTCTCACGGTGTGGCTGGATTACAAAAAGTGTAACGTGCATGCTTCCCCAAATTTCGCATTCGCAATCCGCTAAGGGACATTTTTAGAAGAATGTAAGGTAATTATTCTCTGACCACTTCCATGCACCTTAGACAGCATCACACTGACATGCTTTTACACGGGATACAGGTGTGTGTGAATGGGGTACGCAGGAGCTCGTAAACAATCTTGGCGCAATTCGCCCATCTTTCAGTCGTATCTCTTTGGTTTACACTAGATATGCCGTATACGGATAGAGATTTGTGTGTGTAAATCAAGTCACTGCTTATCCCTCACTAAGCTGAGGTATCGTGTGGTTGATGGCGTTTATGTTTGCGGCTAACGTATAAAAGTGACGCCAAATGCCAAATGCACGCCTCAATACACCCACACAAGGTGTACTTTAAAAAATAGCCCTCCAATTATCCAACTCACTTTGAGTTCCGAGGTGGACAGTATAATACAGGCTGTGTATTAGAAGATGTGAAACTCGAACAGAATACCTTGTATCCTGTTAAGCTGAGTGAAATAGTATGCATTCGCCTATAATCTCAATTTTAGAATTAATTCTATGTATTTGTATGCTTTAAAGGAAGCGGTAAACTTCTCAGATGCCTGAGATCCGGATTTTAATGTATTTTTAATATCACCAGTTTGTTTTTGACTACCGACTATTCTGACAGTAGAATCAAAGACTGGTAGCTCAGGTTGTTCAGCTGGCGGTTGAAATGTTCGCTGAGCTTGGCAGTCTTGTTACAGACGTTTCATCGACAGAGGTGACATCATCAGTGTGTAATTGCGTAGGGTGCAGTAGCGTAGAGAAGATTCGGTGAAAGGCTCACGTTTCTTTATATGCTTCAAGCCTTTTGTCTCTCAGTGGTTTTGGCTTAACACAACCAGCTAAATTCTGTTACCCACATCGTCAAAGGATATTTGAATTCCACTCTGATCGTTTGTAATCTGTTAAACAAGCAAACTTTAGCATCATAATACCGGGTCCACTCTGACTAAAGAATGCTGTGCACTGACTAAATAAACGTAGTAAACACACAAAACGAAAAGTATCTGATGTCCTTAGCTTCAGCGCCAGGGTTATGCAACGCGTCAACAAATTACCGGACTGGACTCGTCCATGGAATTCACAACGGTCTTTATCCATATATGACTGGCTTGAGTGTACTGTATCATACTTAACCGAATTACATCTAGGTTGTAAGTAGTCATGGGCTACAGTTGTATTAAGGGTTAAACACATAGTTAGGAGTAAATTAGCTAATAATCTAGGATCTGCTGTGATTCGCAGATGCCCCTGTTTAGCTGCGTACCTATTCACCACATTTAACCTTTTTCAGTAAGGTGTATGGAATCACTTATTTGCAAAGTGCGGTAGTGGTTGCTCTTGCCTAAACCGTAAATCACTAAAACAGGAATCTCATCTTGGTCGATTTTTACGTGTGCAACAGCAGATCATGTCAATCAAACAAGTTTCACGATATTCTCGTCTTCTCAAGAAAACTTCGGAAGTAATGCAAAAATTCAGTCAATCATAAGCTCTCATTATGGGAGTTAGAGTCAGTTATTTTAAAAATTTGGATATAATATGTCTGACTCACTCAAATGATCTTGTTGTAAAATTAGACTGGATATATGTTCCATTGCTGGAATTGACGCTTCGGAGTGGTTAAATACATAGCTGAAATGATAACAGGCAAACGTTAGATTGCAACCCAAACCAGAAAGCAATTCATTTGCTTGGAATTGTGCCATCATCCTTACTGTGAATAAGTGGATCAAATATCCAGGCACTCTCTAAAGCTGACTTGATGCTTTTTGTATTAAACATTTTGGTACTTTGAGTGCAGTTAAATTTTGCAGGGTGTGGTCTCTTTTCTTGCAAAGGATTTATGGTTCTACCATGTATTTTTAAACCAAGAAAAACAGTCAGCTGTTGCAGGTACCTTTACTTTGTTAAGCCAGTGTAACTCATAAACTTTGCACGACGCTCGGTTTAATCCCGATAGAATGGTTTTGCTTTCGAGTAGGGTCCGTTTGCTCGACTTATGCAATTTATTATTACATTGATAAAAAACTGCCATGTCTTCTTACCATATACGTTTAGTCTATTTCCAGCGTAAATTACCTTTAATTCAATGCTGCTATTTATAAGCACGTTAAAAATTGTGAGCTGCAAAAGCTTTGGTAATGTTCATGAAAAGTCTGATTGAAAACGTAGCACTTTCGAGCCCGAGGTTTGAGCGAATGGCTTTGTGAGTTAATGGCACTGGTTTGTCGAGGTAAATAGAATGACTCACATGCATATGCTCTATTATTCCGCCACTTCCGGTCCACCAGGAATCAGTGAGTTGCTCATACTAAAGAGTATCGCAATTTATTTGAACCATTGTGTTTTCAACTATGCTATACACAGGTATATGTTAGTCCAGCAGTCACAGTGCAATTGGAGGTTCCTTTTGCTCTGAAATGGAATGTACTATCCGTTCTACACAGTTTTATAAATCACTGCGTTTCTTTATGTTGCCGACAACCTAGGCTACATACTGTAAAAATATTTCTATATGCTTATCCTTGATTAGTACATAAAGTACTTTGTTTATGCAGGCTGGAACAGGCCCATACTGCTTGCGCATTAACAAGCTTCGGGGAAATATGGCGAGTAAATGAATGGTTAAAACGGCGATATTTTCATGACTTCATCCTAGTTTCCAAGTATGTATCACGTGCTGTAAATAATTAAATACAACACTGCTTTCTTGTCCGTAACAAGGCCTGAAATTAGTGTGCGCAGGCCATAGCATGAACTCTCCATCTGGTTGTACCCATAGTAGACAATGCTGTGATCAGTATTGTTGTCTCAGACATACACAAGTTTGGGGATACATAAGTGTCTTAAATGTGCAAAACACAAGTTTAATGATCTCTTTTAGGTAAAGAAAGCCCTTCTTCAACCAAACATTTTCGTGAAGTCGAGGCACGCGGCTCTGAAATCGGCACCGAATATTGGCACTGAATTGTAAGCCTCGGATAGTATTTCATATCTGATATAGATGAAACTCGAAATCCTTTCAATCAACATGTTTTTCTAGATAAGCCTACATCATATAGAATATTAAGATGCGGTTCCTAATATGAAATTAATCATCTTCATACCAATGTACGGTCAAATTTTTCTGAAGAAAAATGAGAGTTAAGTAACAAGCTGAGTTGTCCTTGCCATTTTCCGTAAATATGTAGAAGTCACAGACAAGGAATATAGTGAGTACTGAATACAGTGAGGCTGATAAGAACAGTCCTTTCTGTTTAAAAATAAGAAACAGTAATTTTAACAATCAGGGAAACAGATGTACATTTTTAAAATATCCGTACGAGCAGCGGAAAGCTTAATGCATCAATTTAAGACAAACTTACTAGGTAAAAACAGTAACCTAATTAGTCAGGATGGCTTTGGGAAATTTTTTTTAGACATGTTACCTTAATCATGTTTTTGCCAATTTTGTGAAGGCAATCGAATATTAATAAATTTGGCACACACAGTGGAAGTTGCTTAGAAATGTATCTCATTAAAGGAACGTTACATTAATAACAGTGACGATAGCTAAGCAAATGAGCCGCAACTATAGCATTTTAATTGGTCCTGTTATCCATGAAATATGCTGTTTATAACCTTGCACAAACAAATTTGAGTCTCGCGCTTAACCGAATAGAAATTACTAGGAAAGACAACGATAAAATCAGTAGGCGGTTCTAGTTTCATCATTCTCGCGGACCGATGGGTCGCAATTGCCTGTGCAAATAAATGCATTACTTATGAGACTTAACCATACGCAACAACCAGCGCTTTTTATTAAAGCAGTTCCAAAGGAAACTGCATTATCTTTCACGATCTCGTTTACTTGTTAACTGGGTTATAGTCCACCTTGCACTTAGTAAACAACCCATTATAAAGCTGTTGAAGTTTGTAAAAGTAAAACAGAAAGCAAAACAGTAACTCACCATTAGTTAAGTAGAACAACATTTATTACTTTACCTAGGAATTATCCAGAATTAATCAACTGCTGTTAAAAGTTAAGAGCATACGTATGAAAAGCTATATGGATATGCTGGATGTTAATGTGTTAATGTTTCACCAAGAGCGTCTGAGTGCAAAAGTATTATATTCTATTTTATTTACTACTTAGACATTTTGTTTTAAGAAATAATAAAATGTAGTCAATAACATGAACAGCAAATTTTAATATCAAAAACCATAGAATCATAAAGATGCACTTACCTTTTGGAATGCGAAAGTAAGTGACGGGAGCTTTGTATTGGTTTATCAAGGTTTTGTGCGTCCAACCAAATCCAATTAGTAACTGTAGGTCAAGGCAAAAGAAAATATCTTGCTATTTTTGAATGTTTATTAGTGCTGCAGTTTAGTTTCATGTAAATGTATGGCAATTTTTCTGACAGCTTCTTTGATGCACCCTACGACTGAATAATATAAGGCAAAGTTAGAGTTTTAAAAAATGATAAGATACTTTAAAACTTTGCATGCAGTTTAGCGCAGTAATAGAGTTAGTAAACAAAAGTTATGGAACCTACAATCGGTATTAATAGTGAAATATTCGTTTCTTATGCGATAAGAAGCTAAACCTTATATTTCGACGCAATGCAAAGAATAGCACCTTTTGTTGTAAATGATGTGTTACTATAAAGTGAACGCGACAACAGTTAAAGCGTATAAAATCTGCAAATTACAAATGGATAAAATAAAGTACGTCCCTAATTTTTAAGCGCCTTGAGAGACTAGCTGTCGTTTTATTATAATTTAAGTCTAAATGCTTGGTAATTGTTGTATATTGCACCAAAAAATAATAAATTTTACGATTTTATGTAGAAGTAGTAATAGCGCAAAAAACTATGAATTACGAATTTAGGTTGAGCCTTCACAATTTATAATTCACTGCAAAGTTTTATTTCAGGACGAACAACAGAAATTCTCAGCCTCAAATTTATTTTGTATTAAAGTTGCTTGACGGGTACCATTGTCTAAACTTCTACAAAGTTAAACTTTTAAGTTAACCGTAACTCAGACATTGACAAGTTGTTTAATGCTTAGTAAACTGCACATTGAGCCGCAAAGTTAGGATTGTATACAAAGTGCAATATACCGACAACCATGATTGCTGTTTTTGGTATTTATTTGCACTTAGATCCCAACGATTTATTTACAAACGTTTGTAACAACCTGTGTGACACATTTTGTGCATAGTAGTAATTAAACTTTTAGTGGTAACTAAAATTAAAGCTAAGTTGAATTTGTCTGCAGATCAGTTAGCGCCGACAGATTATTTGCTATTAGATACAGAAGATGTCAACCTACTCTGTGGTAAAACTTTTAGAAATAACTTTCTTGACTTGGTAAGCAAAATGACATTTCAGTATGGGTCATAATATAACGACTTTACGTCAAACACCTGCTTTGTTTTTGCGCTGAAGTTTTGCATATTGCTTACACATTGATCACAAAATTTTGAGCGTTTAGAACGTGATTAGTTAAACTACTTTAGAAGGCTTCCACGCTTCCTTTACCCAAATTTTGATCGGTGTTCCGGTTTTACGAACGGCCAAAACCATTGCTTTCTTGGACCTAGTCTTTGCAGCTTCTAGTAGCTTTTTAGTGATATTGCATGCAATTCAGTCGAGAATAATAAACGCACTACCTGTGTGTGGAATTTTACAACACACAATAAAGGCGGCTAACTTTTCTTGCAAAAATTCGGTAAATAACAACATGCAGAAGCAGGCTGAGAAACTCAGATTCCACCCAAATAATCCATCTCTTTTTTACCTACTAAATTTTTAATAAAATCAAAAGGCTAGCGGTTAATTTTACTTCATCTAAGCGTTAAATGTTTAACAGACTTGCCAAAGTTTGTCATACATACCTAGTTGTTTAATCGTTATGTAATTATTTGGGCTACTGAAATGTAAAACTATTTGCAAGCGATATCTAAGATAGGTAGAAATCCAAAACAAAATAGGGCTTGCTTATGCATCTCGTAAATACAAAAGCGAAGCGAAACAAATATAACGAGCTTTGTGTAGTTTAGCTCCGACGGTTTTCTGCTCTTACTGGCACACAGCTGGCAGGTACATTTGTTCGGATATACTAAATATTTTACTTTATTTTGCAGGTAACGGATCTCGCAGACTTTTGTAAAAGATATATTGTGTTAGAGGTTTAGGTGTTCTGATTTGCACTTGGCTACACCTTACTATATCTGCAAAAGTCAATGTCGCCCATCCCAAAATTTTGCGTGAATTGACATATCCGATTTGCTCGCTATGTATAAAATCTTTTAGCATGTATTTGCTAAGCTGATCTCTACCTTACAACGAAGAAGGTTTGATTGTAAGCCTATTTATAGTAAGGGAAACCTCTTAAAATTATAAAACGGTTAGTTTAAAAATTTACTAGTCAATCTGTTTTATTCCATTTTAAAGTGGGCTGCAAAAGATCATTTAACTATTTTTAAATTCAGTTTTTTCAGCAGGTTTATCTTTCGGTTAGTTAAGTTATCAACTTAATGCTGGCTTTAAAAGATTTGGTCAAAAACTTGAGTAACGGAATGTATTTCACTTAACGTTTCTTGACTTTCACAAACTTTTTAAACCGTTCCACATTCTGGCTTTTGTGCAATTGGTACTTGTGGTTTTATGTTACGATGGACTTCGGCTGTTCTAAACAATAAGAAACAGTGCGTTTGCCTGTGCCTTAGCCTCGCTTATATATTCAGTGAGCTGCACTTGGTGCCTCTAATAAAGCAACTTTAAATAGCTACTTTAACTTTATGTGCAACAGCATTCTTTATAAGCTAAGTGCGCTATATTGTGTGTTTTCGGATAATTTATTTATTTACACCGATTACTCCTAATAGTCTACTAAACGTAACAAGGCAACAAAATATACTTTGAGATTAAACACTTATAGAACCGCCGTCTATTAATGTGGCCAAAGGTTTTGTTTTATGCATTAGTAAAATGTCTAGCTGAATCATTATTCAATTGGCTAAACTAAAGTAGTACGCGTAACATTTAAAGCAGACATAGGTATTTTACTGTCACCTAAATAAACCTTTCGTAAAAATAGAAGACCCTTGCCGGCAAAAGACGCGACATGACATGGATAACCCATGAATTCTTTATAAGCATGATAACCGCAACGTGTTGAAGCTTGAAAAGTTTTACTTGATCGTACTTATGGCTCTGGTGCAGCCTGGTACACTGTACCCATTCAGGGACAGAATGATTACTGAACTAGTCCTAGGCTTAGTGAAAAAATTGATGTATAGTTTACAGTTACGGCCATAACTTTAGTGGACATTAAGTAGAGCATGTTTTCCTTGCACTGTGAGCAAAAGCAAGGTCTTTTAATTTCCAGTTATTACACGCCAACAAAGCAAATTTGCGATAGTTTATCTGTATTGTGTACCTCATTTAGTCTTTTAACTTTCGTAGACATTTACTGATGTAGTTCCAACTATGGCCGTACCATATTAGAAATGATCTTCGTTCATAACTCGTGATTAAACGTTTCTGAAACGTGCTGCCCGCAGATACTATGATAAAAATAGTAAAATGGTTTAAACGTCAGCACAAAACACATAGCTTATGCATTTAAGCCCTAGGTTATGCCATAAGTTTGCTCAAAATGTGAGTTTAATGCTTGTAAGATAGTTATAATTTAACTCACAATAGTTAATTTAGCTACTTGCTCTTTTGCTTTTGATTCTGTTTTTCTTCTTGTGCGTTTAGCTGATGCATCCAGGATTGCCTACGTTGGCAAATGGGCATTGTTATAGGGAAAGTGGAGTAAAATTGGTGTGTTAACCTTGGTTTTTTGGCAGATCGAATAGCCAAATTGCATCATAGAACAGAAGAGATTTTGTAGTGAAAACATCCACAAGTCTTCTTCACTGATTTTGCCCCGGTAGCATTCGTAACGCAACGTCATAAAATCTATGACATTATAGTTAAACCCGTAAATCATAAGCAACTGGTAATGGAGACCCCTTAAAATGTGTTTAAAAATAAGTAAATTATGCAAACAGTAAGCAGAAGTAAACCAGCAGCACCGTATTAATATTAATATTTCGGTATGAAAATTTTACATGCACGGTATGTAAGTAAATATAAAGACTAATAAAAACTTTTAATTTAATGCAATAAAGATATTGCCACATCAGTGCCAATATTTTGTGGTTAAACGGCGCCAAATTGAATACTTGCTGAATTAGAGCGAATCAAATGTATTCATTTTTGATTAACAATAATCAAAATGCCAGGCACAACGATCTCCCTGAAAGATAGTTAATCTCTTTTCTAAAACACCTTCACACTTTGCATTTTTTAATTATATGCAGAAAAATTTTGCTTCCTTTACTTCTCGATGTACATACGTATAAATATTTTTCCTCAGCAAATCCGCAGTGTCGGAAATGTAGCAAGTCTTATTGAATGTAAGAGTGGCAACAGAAAGGAGGTTTAGGAAGTGGTTAATGTAAACCGCTTTCGGCTTAAATTCAGCTACTTTTCTTACTAGATTGTTGCAAATGTTATGTTTTCGTTAACCTATATCGGGGGTAACCAGGAACAACTTAATCAAGCAACATCCGATAAAGTAAAATCACTGATAGTTCACAAGTTAGTTTTAGAAAAGAGAAGCCAGCATACAACGTAACTAGAAATGTAAGAACAAGATAAATAGCAATAGTAACATACCTATATTTATTTATTTGTTTTTGCTACAGACATATTAGCTATGTTTGTGACTGTAATACGGGAACTGGTAGATACTGAGCCGTTTCTTGATGAGAATTATTAAACAAACGCAGAAAAATGCAAGTATTTTGAAGGGAAAGATATTAATTTGATTCCATATACCATTTTCTACTGGTATTGTTTGGCAAAGCTCCAGTCGTAACAATCGTGCGGTTTCTCTACAATATAATTGAGCATTAATGCAACTCACACAGCAAGAAGAAAATATTAGTTCCCGATGAGTGACCAACACCAGTAAAAAGAAATCATATAGCAGCCCATAAAAGGAGTTATAACATCATCCTAAGCAAAAAGGTTTATGTTGTGGCGCTGTGTAATCGACATGCAATCAACAGTTTTATAAGTTACGGCCAAGGAACAAATAATCAATGCATACGGTAAGTCTACACAAAAATCGTCTGAGTGAAGGAGGTCCGTTCAGACTCCTAAATCTAATAAATAACATAATACCATTGCCCATTCTCCCCACGCTTAACAATCACTCATGTTAATTGGCTGCATTCGCAAAGTTTGGACAGAGCGGTGCAATATTCCAAATAGAGCCGGTTTTGAGAAATATCTGAAAAAGGTTAGCCAACATGATTCAGTGAAAATTAATAAAACAGCAAAAAAATAAATAAAAGCTTGAACACAGTTAAGCAGCTCTTAAGATTAGGTAATTTTAAACACATCTTCACCAACTGTAAAGCATATCAAGTATAACGAAAAAGCATATAACATAAAGCGCTAATTATTTCTTACGAATAAATTCATATATCATTTAGTTGGAAACTGCTTTTAGGTAAACATGTAATTTCGAGTCTTTCTCTTAAGCATGTTTCCCAAAATAAGCAATATAGAGCTAACGACCGACTTACGTAAAAACTGCGACATATATATGCAAAGCGATTCCAGAAAAGTTGGTTGCATCTTGTGCAAAGCGTTCGTGTTGAAAGACTAATAGTTCCTATGGGTCGAACATATAGTTCCACCTTTTCAGTCAAACGAAAACAAAAAACCCTTTCAAAAGCTGGCCGGCACTCTGACCTACAAAACACAAGTCAGTGATAAGCTTGATAAAACTGCAAAATAAATTTAAAAACAGAACTCACACATTTGTCTGTATTCCGAGAAGTGTAGCTGTTATTTTATTTTCAATTTTTACATAAGCGTATTCTTCTAAGACTGTGAAAATAATTCTGACATGTGGCTTGGCCGAGTCCTACTATAGTCCTTGCTTTCTCAGCACTCAAACTGATAGCGCGCAGTGCAAATTTTGCAAAGGAGTTCAGGTAGGTGAAATACTAATGACTGCAACTAAAATGGACAGCATGTAGTCGCCATCTTCGGTCCCTCGTGGGACATTAACAATGGTAGAATCTGGTGTCAATTCCAGTTGTATAGCATCGTTGGCTTAGAACCGAATTTAGTAAAACTGCTGGTTATTACTTTATATTAAAATTGGTGCGTTTAGTCTAGGCACGGTCGATCGAACAAGGCTTACGGGCCGTATATTCATCATTCTAGATATACCTATCATGTGTCCGGTCGATTGTTCCGAGGGCTTCCGTGTCCTGCGAATACTGGGTCCCATCAGACCAATGGGCCGAAAGGCAAAAGCGATACTTCGTATGCGGTTGAACAAGCATCTAGTAAGCGTCGGAGCTGGATGCAGCGTGGGTGCCTTTATTACACATCGTGGCGAGCTGGAAGGCAGATGTTTATGGAGAAATGAGAGCGAGGATTTTGTTCTGCGATACGGAAGAAGAAAGAGGAAGCTAAAGCTAAACGGAAGCGATAATGACATCTAAAGCCATGCTTTGCCATACTATACCCGTTAGCTTACCACGAAGACACTATGACGCGCTATATTATCCCAGTATTTTGAGCCTCTCTCCTAAGCGTCTACAAAAGATCTGCCCGTTGTAAACCTGCTGACTCACAGAAAGCGATGAGCGCTGTGGTAGGCTCGGACGATTTCGCGTGAGTGAAGGTTACTGATCACTACAACGGCTGCAGTCCGGTCACAGGGCTTGGCATTATGAACTAGCATTATCCTTATTATATACGTCAGCTAGAAGTGGGAAGCACCTCAGCTACTATGCCGTAATCCATAAAAGAAGCAAATGGATAGGCAACAGATACAAGCCATCTGAAATATTGGTTACGGATTGGCCTCGTTCCGGTAAGTTGCTAGCCGGCTACTATGTAGCAAAAATTACTGTGTATAATTATGTAAGGATAAATGGTGAGAGGTTAGTTGGAGGTCGAGGCTAAGATTGATGGAGTAGGACCAAGAAACTCATGGCACGAACGCCGTTTAGGTCGGCCCTTAACCATTTTAGCAAGTGTATTCAGTCAACTGTGTGCATGGTCTTTCCGACCCCTACCAGGAAGCCGAAACTCTTCAAAAGAAGTCAGCTTCGTAGTAAGGGCCTTGATTCCTCTCTTCCAGGCCACCTCATAGCCGCCCATCCTCTGCTTTCAGCCACACCCCCGGCGCGCAAATGATGTCGTCGCGTGAGTCGATGGGCTGGTATACGTAAAACATGGCCGCGCCATTGGTGGATGGTGCGTGAAATGACGGTGCTGAGCGGTTCGTTTCGTTTTGCTGTGTCGTAAACAAGGCCACGAACACGCTCTGTGCTCACTCGGTGTCCCCACCAGATGTGAGCTGAATGGAGCAGGCCTCGGTGATCAAACGTAATCATCCTCTATACGTCGGCTGACCTAAGAGGCCAAGTTTCACAACCGTACCGTAGGGTAGAACTTACCCCTGCATTGTACACTCCACCCTCCAGGGCGAGAGTGAGGTCGCGTCGGTGCCATAAGTAGCGAAGGTTAGCAAAATTGCGTCGCGTTACTGCTGTATCGTTCGTGGTCTGATCTTCAATCCCACGGACGCAGTTACAACTTACCAGGCAGTGGAATTCTTGAACGACTTCTAGCTGATCCCCACCAATGCTCAGAGCAGAAGGCGGTCCAGGCCAAACTTGAAGGAATGCTTTGTACTTCGTGAGTGTGAAGCGGATTCCGAAGTAACTGACAGCCAGTGCTAACATCGTCAGAGCCGCACGGTACATTTTTTAAGTGTCACAGGCGAGGGCAAAGTTGTCAGCATACGTCAAGTCAAGAAGTTGCACGTCTGGGTGCAGCTTCACGCATTGTAATTCGTGTCCTGCGAACGTGCTTTCATGGTTTCGTGAATAGCGAAAATGACGAGGAATGGTGGCAGCGGTCATGGTTTTCTCACACCGCTGGAGAGTTTCCTGGGCTAGGACAGATGGCCGGAAGTCCTCACCCTGACCGAGCTACGTGTGTAAAATGATCGGCAAATAATTATATACTGAGCGGCATAACTACAATCACTAGACAGTCCTAAAGGACACGCCTAGCCACCAAATCGAACACACCTTGGATATCGGTGGGCCGCCAAACTATGTGACTATGCTCCAAAAATTAACGCAAAGTGAGGTTGTGGGTAATGTATTCACGACCTCGACGAAACACGCATACTCTTTACAAATTTGGAGTTCACGAGTGCCATTCAGTCTGTGAAGGATGACAGAGGCATACAATTTTTAGGCAATGGAGCTAAAACAAATTCGTCGTTGATTACCGCAACCTTAGCGTGAGCCTCCCTTGAAAATTAGGACTGTGACAGAGCGGCTCCAGTCGGTTGGGGCAGTTTTCTGGTCCCACAGTTTCACGAGTAACTCACGTACATCCTCCACAAAGTAGGTCCCTGAAGTTGCAGAGGGCAGGAATAAGGTCACCTGGCCCCGTGGATCTATTTAACTTCAATAGTCCGATCATACTTTTGACTGCTGAGCGATAACGGGCCTATAAAGGGACAGCTCACGGTGCAGCGCGATCAGTGGACGGCGAGAACTCTGACATTTCCGACTGCTCAAACTGTCTTTCAAAGTTCTCAGCCTAGCGCTGCTAGAATATTACCTTCTGCAAGGTCACGACGACAGGTTGGTTCGTTTGCACTCTCCACTTGGTGTAACTACCGGTATTTGTACTGACGTTTAGTGCTGATACAGCGTACCTCCTACACACTACAAGAATCTTAGCTCTACCCTGATATACTTCTTCTTGCTGATCATTCAGTATTAGCTTTGGCCATATATTTTGACTTTACTTTTCTCTTTACTTCCTTCTTACTATTATTTTTCTTGAGGCTTGTCTTTGGAACGTCGTCTCCAAATGTCCGAGGCAAAAGGGCTAAAATCCACTTACTATTGTATAAGTAGAGCGGGGGAAAAGCGAGCAACCTGTGCGTGGCACGACTGTGCCCGGGGCAAAGCACAGTTCTCCATTAAGCTGAAAGATGTATTTTCTTTTATGAGCAATGAACTTATGAGACTGCAAGATCGTTTAGCGTAGAGTAAAATGATCTCAACATCTCATGTCCAATCTAGGAAACCAGTTGCTATTTCAAGCCTATTTCAATCTGGAAAAGCTCTGGAAGGTAAGTGCGCAGACCTCGTAGACCGGGATATACCGCACTACACTGGCCTCAGCACCTAAAATAATCAAAGAGCTGCAAACTAGTCTGCATCAACACATGAGGCAAGATAAGCCTTTATGTTCAAGCAAGCTCAATCCCCCCAAGTAGAGTAGTTAATGCCCCAACAAAGCGGAAGCAACTGGATTTCAAGCCCCGAAGCTTTTTGCCAAATTTTGCTAAATGTCTCGATACTCATTTCTTTATTGGTAGTGACAGGCCCCTTTAGCGCACTTGTGCTGGAGACAGCCTCATGAATAAAGCAACTCGGTTCTAAGAGGTATAACATGCGATGTTTTCTAAGAAATGTGTACATTTTCCTGACCAAATTGGGTCAAATTTTCCTAACGGCCACCTCTATTGTTAAGGTACACCTCGCTCATGCAGCCTTGGTATGAACTTCAGAACGACTTAGAGGCTCAAAAAATACTAAACTCTATTACTATTGGTTTAGGTTGCTCAGTGTCCACTACAAATTTTACACTGAAGACTTCTGACGGTGGGTTAATTTTACGTTGTCCTGAAGTCCCTTGCAGACAAAATATTCCTTACTGGATCTGCAGTGTTTTCGAGTATCATTACAGCTTATTTTCCTACATTTGCTATGTATGCCTGAAAAGTTTATTTTCGGCCACCTACGTCGTAATTAATTGTTGCGGGGTATTACGGGCTATATAGACATTACAGATAGCATGCATATTTAGAACGTATCCCGTTTCGCTAAATTTTACATTTCCTCTTCTTTTTGCTGATATCTGCTTCCAACGCGAAAAGCCATTTTTAGTGAAAAGTTATGGCGTTATTCGTAAACAACCATTCCTTAGCGATTAACTCATGGACTAGTGCGCGTCCTGCATTGGTTTTGCGTTTCCCGTACTCAGCAGTTAAAACATGTTCTGAGCAGTTTATTTTTGTATTACGTTACGGAATCTTCTACTTTTAGAGCAGGTTTTTCTTTTTGCTGTGATTTACTCAGCTTGAAATTTGGCGCCAGGAAGGAAATTCAGCGCATGAAAAGTTTGGCTATATCTTTTGTTACGGTGTATATTTCTAGTGAAGTACGCTGCCTTAGTATGTCTCTTAATAATACTCTTATTATTTTTATCCGCATTTCTCGAAATTTCTTTTGACCATTTTCTATTCCTTATACTTATTTGCGTATATTTGCCTTTTATGCCTGCAAAGTGTAGCTTTCGGCCACCTACGCAGTCCCTAGTTATTGCAGGGTATTACGGACTAATTGGAATGATTCTGGATAGCTATGCCTACTTTGTACCTTATCTTTTCTTTTTCTGCCATCCGCTTGCAAAACGGAAAGCCAATTTTAGCGAAAAAGAATAATAGCCTTATTCGTAGACCATCATTTAATTGCGAATAACTCACAAACTACTGCACCTATTGCGTCGTTTTACTTTCAACGTAATCAGCGGGTAAAACTTGTCTTGAGCAGACTATTTTCATGCTACTTTACGCAGTGTTCTAGTCATTGAAAAGGTTTTTCTTTTTCTGAGATTTACTGAGGTTAAATTTTGCGTCAGAAAGCAA